AGCTTGTATTGCAATCTTTATTTATTTATTTTAATTTAATTATTTTTAAAAATGTACATAGCTGTCATTTATCCAAGAAACTCTGGGTGGTGTACAGAAATAAAACATAACCAAATTATACAAATCTAATTCAGGAGAAACTGGATGGAGGACCCTAAAATTACATTATCCACATATAAATCTAAACTACACCCACACTAGAATTCTATCCCACCCTGGTCTCAATGCTTTGAGGAAGGGTCAGGTCTTCACAGATTTCTGAAAGGCTAATGGAGCGGGGTTGTCCATGTCTGTTGGGGTAGGCTGTTCCACAGGACAGGTGCCATAGCAGAGAAAGCACACTTCCTTCAGACACCCCCCACCCACACATACACACATACACAACACTGACTGGAACTGACCTCAGAGGAAGAAGGAAACCACTGAAGAACCATAACTCCCATTCAACTAGTTCAGAAAGCTACTATGATTAATGATATGGAAACTTGCTGAGAGATCAAGGAGGACCAGGATGGATACACTACCCCCATCCCAAACCCACCAGAGGCCATACACTACTATAATCCATGCTGTCTCAGTACTATATCCTGGCCTGCAAACTGACTGCAATGGGTCTAGATAATCAGCTTCCTCCAAAGCCCTTCTGAGCAGCAAGCCCAGCACCCTCTCAACAACCTTTCCCATTGTTACAATACTGCTAATGTCAGCTTCACAGCCCTTGTCCCACTGTTATTAATAGACAATTCATCTTTGTTCTTTCTAGATCTATGACCTCATTTTCCATAAGGCTGTTCTTCTTCTATTCTTTAGTAGGAAGGACTTCCTAGTAAAGTGATGAAACCCACTGAGACGTATCATCTGAATCTGCCAATCTGGAACTTAGATTTAGTAGGAGATGGCATGTACTTATGCCAACTGACTTGTCTTGTCTTGCCTTTTTTTAAAAAAATGTTTTGCTTAGTATTCTGTGCCAGTCGAAGCACTGACCCAAAGTAACTGTCTGCCAACATCATTTCCCCAAGAGAACTGAACACTGGAGGAAAGAAGATAGCCCTTGGGTGAAACTTCTACTGGTACTTTGCTTCTCAGTAGATCAGTCTAACTAGTTAATTTGTAAAAGGGAAATGGAGAGAGGGAGTTGGGTTGGATTATATAGTTCCAAATACTATAGAGTTTTATAGTTCACAACCAACATTTTGAATTTTACCTGAAAGCCTCTGAGAAACAAGGCAGAGGTCACAACAGCAAGGCACTCATTATACGTGAGAGGTAATTCTCATGCACCACCTCCAGCTTTTGCCACTTCTGATGGGAGGTTATATTACATCTCCCAGATGCCCAAAAAAAAAAAAAAAAATCTAGATAAAAAGATCAGAAAACAGGAAACAGAAAAGAGAGAAGAAAATGACAGAATTGATAAATGATTTTTATTTTT